GGAACTGTTGTAGATGAGATAACAATTATAATGCGACCTGTGTTGTAGACCAGTATCCTCTCACTGGATGCCCCTCTGCTGTCTTCTTATTTCCATGTAACTCTCCATAAATAAGAAAATTCTGACATGGTGCTTTATCGTTTTCAAAGCTTTTAATGTACAGCTGACAGGTGGCTCTCACATAAATCGTATAGTGATAGTACAGCTGATTCAGACCTCCGCTGGCTGTTGGAGATGTGCGTGCGTGATCCGATATCCGGACTAACTCCCTCCGAGTGACATGAACAGTCCCACTGTCCCACTGTTCATGTCACTCGGAGGGAGTTAGTCCGGATATCGGATCACGCACGCACATCTCCAACAGCCAGCGGAGGTCTGAATCAGCTGTACTATCACTATACGATTTATGTGAGAGCCACCTGTCAGCTGTACATTAAAAGCTTTGAAAACGATAAAGCACCATGTCAGAATTTTCTTATTTATGGAGAGTTACATGGAAATAAGAAGACAGCAGAGGGGCATCCAGTGAGAGGATACTGGTCTACAACACAGGTCGCATTATAATTGTTATCTCATCTACAACAGTTCCTAAACAAGTAGGTTCCAAGGAGGTGAACCGCAAGCTTTAATAGCCTAATTGCAGGCTATTCATGAGGTGAGCGCACATCTTCACTTGAGGGAGGAGGCACAAGCAGTCACCTATTTAAAGTTATAGAAGATTTTTTTCAGCACAAAGTCACCTATATATTTCTCTGTGGGACATTATTATTTTATCAATATATTATATGATTTCACTATATTTTTAGTATTTTTTTTACTATTTCATTCATGTGAGTTGATTGACTATATATTCATTTATGTGAGTTGATTGGCTATATATTCACTTATTCAGATATTCAAATATATTATATACATTCTTATAGGTTTATTATATATAGATTGGAAGGTTGTGAGCGCAATATTATATATTTTTATTTACATATATATATATATATATATACACACTATATTGCCAATAGAATTGGGACATCCCACAAAATCATTGGATTCAGGTGTTCCAATCACCTCCATGGCCACAGGTGTATAAAATCAAGCACCTAGGCATGCAGACTGCTTCTACAAACATTTGTGAAAGAATGGGTCACTCTCAGGGGCTCAATGAATTCAAGTGTGGTACCGTGATAGGTTGCCATCTATGCAATAAGGCCATCCATGAATACTAATACTAAATACTAAATATTTTACTGTCAACTGTTAGTGGTATTATAACAAAGTGGAGGAAACGATACTTGCCTGACTGCATTGTGCCAAGTGTAAAGTTTGGTGGAGGGGGGATTATAGTGTGGGGTTGTTGTTTAGGGGTTGGGCTTGGCCCCTTAGTTCCAATGAAAGGAACTCTTAAGGCATCAGTATAGTAAGACATTTTGGACAATTTCATGCTTTTAACTTTGGGGACGGCCCCAACAGTTTGGGGATGGCTCCTTCCTGTTCCAACATGACTGTGCACCAGTGCACAAAGCAAGGTCCATAAAGACACGAATGAGCGAGTTTGGGGTGGAGGAATTTGACCTCAACACGATAGAACACCTTTGGGATGAATTAGAGCAGAGACTGCAAGCCAGGCCTTCTTGTCCGACATCAGTGCCTGACCTCACAAATGCGCTTCTGGAAGAATGGTCAAAAATTTCCATAGACTCACTCTTAAACCTTGTGAACAGCTTTTCCAGAAATCTAAGCTGTTTAGCTGCAAAGGGTGGGCCAACTCAATGTTGAACGCTACAGACTAAGAGAGGGATGCCATTAAAGTTCATGTGCGTGTAAAGGCAGGTGTGCCAATACGTTTGGTATATATATATATAATCTACAGATTGCGCATGATAAGGGGAAAACCCTAAGGAAACCATAAAGGAACATAATGGGGCAGACAACACCCTTACATTGTTAAAAATACTGACTTCCTTTTTTTTTTTTAATTCAGTGACACCTGACACCATACGTGATATGATCAGGTAAAGTCAAGAAGTCAGACTATAGCTTTCCCTTTAATGGTTCAGATGATGGAATCTGGCCCCTTTTCCCAGAAACCACAGGAATTTCACCACCCTATTAACTGAGACAGCCTTTGGCATTTCTATATTACGTGAGAGTCTTTGACAGAGTCTGAGAGAAGAAGAAGATTGTGGCCCTCTGTGGCTTTACTGCCTGAAATATGGTCCTACTGTCATATGTGTGTGTGTTCGTGTGCATGTTTCAATTTTCAATGCATATGTACACTCATGTAATTTACCGTGAGATTCCTAAAGTAGTCCTATTATCAGATATATCTTTTCATATTAAAGTGACACTAAAGCTTATTTTTTTTAAACCTAACAAACATGTCATACTTACCTGCCCTGTGCAGTGATTTTTCACAGAGCAACACTGATCATTTTCAGTTCCCTGCGGGTGCTCCTGGCTCCTCTCCCTCAAGCAGTGCCCCTAGGGCAAGCCACCCTGGGGACACCACTGCGTGCTTGTTCCTGAGTCGCGGCTCTATTTGTAATAGAAACATATAGAGCGTCCCTGCCCCCCCCCTACACCTACTCTCTCCACATTGGCTCACTGGCTGTGATTGACAGCAGCCAGAGCCAATGGGCTCCTGCTGCTGTCTCAGCAAATGTGAAGGAAGAGTCCCACAAAGCAGAGGCTGTCAAGAACATCGCTGGATCGGAGGGAGCTCAGATAAGAATTGGGGGGCTGGGGGGGCCACTGCACGGAGAAGATTTTTTACCTTCATGAACAAAATACATGAAGGTAAAAAACCTTGAGCCTTTAGAAACACTTTAAGTGCATGTATGCTTAGTAATATGTAAAGGTAACATAGTTATTTATTGCCTCTCAAAGAGATCACAGTACTTCCTTGGCAAGGGCCTTAATTGCTACTATCTCCAAAAGAAAGGTGCTCTCTTAGCACAATCATTTAGTTCCTGGTGCTTGTGCTGTGTCCACAAACGTTTGACACAGATTAGGCCCTGCTGCTGTCTCTCACTTTGAGACATGCTAAAGAATTAGGCAGCCCATACACTGATCATTTTCTTTGTTCAACCAGTGGGTTGAATGCAAAAAAAATATGATCAGAATCCACCATTCAGACATTTGAGGTGGATGGGAAAATCACTGCAGCTGTGGTATTATATTCTCTGACATCGAGTAGCCTTCCCCACTATCAGAATACAAAGATCAGTGTTGCGGACTATAGTCAGTGGCATGGATTCCAGGCTGGCTGTACACAAGTCAGTTATAAGATCAACTTGTGTACAACCAGCTTCATCCATCCATCTATTTATTTAAATGCGAGCAGTGCAGTGCATCACCAGGGAAGGATTTTTATTATATGTATGTGTAACTTTCTACTTATTTATTTTTCATTTGCAAACTTCTTATGATTCATATGATTTTATGATTGTCACTAATTTCAATGGTTTTATTTATACATATATATTTATATATTTTTTTTTATAGATCTTTTGTGTTTACTTATACTATGTCAATTGCCCCTGTGACTCCTCCACCTGCATAGGGGAGTGTCCAGGATGGCTCATGTGACCTTTGGTTCAACTAGTAGTGTGCATATAAAAGAGGGAGCAAACATTTGGTCAGTTGGCTCTAAGGAAGAGGCAAGTCCTCGAAACGCATCAGCCTATTGGATGTCTACACTCCCTATTGCGGACTATTACTCAGCGCCGTGTTGACCCAGCTGTTCTTTTATGTTGTGTCTTGACTTTATTGTTGTTTGTGAGTACAACACCTACTTTATTTCTTATTAAACATTTTTTTATGGTAATGCACTAGGCCTGTGCGCCCTCTGTTTGTTATTTCCTCATTCAGGTAATTAAGTAGTGGTGCAGGCATGCGGTATGTACTGGTATCTGTCAGTACTGTCATGGGTTGTTAAGGAATAGGTGGCCGCTGAGTTCCTAACAACCCATGAGTCATCAGCTGTCAGCGGGGTTCCCCAGTAACAGCTGAATGTAAAAAAAAAAAAACAAAAAAAAATTGCCGGCAATTAAAATAATTTCAAAGCGATGTGGGTCCCCCCCCCCCATCCATACCAAGCATTTCGGGTCTGGTTTGGATTATGAGGGGAACCCCCACACCAAAAAAATTAAAAAAAATGGTGTGGGGTCCCCCCAAAATCCAACCTGGCCCTTATCCAAGCATGCAGCCTGGCAGGTCAGGAAAGGGGTGGGATTAGTGAGCCCCCCCCCTCCTGAACCATACCAGGCCACATGCTCACCACATGGGGGGGTGCTTTGGGGCACAAGGGCTCCCTCCCAAAGCACCTTGTCCCCATGTTGATGGGGACAAGGGTCTTTTCCCCACAACCCTGGGCTGTGGTTGTGGGGGTCTGCGGGCGGGGGGCTTATCAAAATCTGCAAGCCTCCTTTAACAAGGGTGCCCCCAGATCTCGGTCCCCCAATGTGAACGAGTATAGGGTACATGGAACCACAAACCCAGTCACAAAAAAAGAAAGAAAGGTGTAGTGTAAAAATGACAGGCGACAGTCTTGACAAGTCCTTTATTAAAAGAAGGAAAAGAAAAAAAAAATGGCCCCTGAAGAAGAACCAACGTCAATCACCATACCCCCTACCGCCTCTACCCAGAAAAAAAAAGAAGGTTCCGCTCCCAAAGCTGGTTCCTGCCATCTGACTGCTCTGCTGGCTTGACCATTCTTAAATAGCCAGCAGAACAGTGAGACGGTGGAGCCAGTGTCAGGAGCAGAGCCTTTTTTCTTCTTTTATCAGGTGGCGACGGGCATCGTGATTGATGTTGGATCCACTTTGGGGGATATTTTTTTTATTTTGCTTCTTTTAATAAAGGACTTGTCAAAGACTGTCTCCTGTCATTTTTCACACTACAGTTTTTTCTTGTGAATAGGTAGCACTACCATGTACTCCATACTCATTCACATGGGGAAGCTGGGATCTGAGGGCCCCCTTGCTAAAGGGGGCTTCCATATTCTGCAGACCCCTATAACTACAGCCCAGGGCTGTGGGGAAGAGGCCAATGTCTCCATCAGCATGGGGACAAGGTGCTTTGGGGGGGAGCCCCCCTGCCCCAAAGCACCCCACCATGTTGAGGGAATGTGGCCTGGTATGGTTCAGGGGGGGTACTCGCTCGTCCCCCCCAGCTCACCCCCCCCCCCCCTTTCCTGACCTGCCAGGCTGCATGCTCGGATAAGGGTCTGGTATGAATTTTGGGGGGACCCCACGCCATTTTTAAAAAATTTTGGCATGGGAATTCCCCTCAAAATCCATACCAGACCCAAAGGGCTTGGTATGGATGGAGGGGGGACCCCATGCCGTTTTTAAATTATTATTTTAATTGCCGGCAATTCTTCCTTTTACATTCCCACTGATAGCTGAAACATTAATGCATGGTTTTCACTACTAAAATACCACATGACTTGATAAAATAACTCATGCGGTATTTTAGTAGTGTTTTTTTGTGAATTCGAAATTTAAAAAAAAAAATGTTATGTGGTATCCTACCGCATACTCCGATGTGGTAAGATACCGCTTAGTGAATTGTGCCCATTGTCTCTATTGTTTTCATGCACTTCTTCCATCTGAAGTACCTAGTTGATTCTGCCATTCACCTTTTTTCTTTATTCTAAACTGACCACACAAAGCAGAGAAGCTGATCTGTGTTAGCTTGGTCAGTTTTCAACCTTTGCTTGGTCAATCAGAGGTACAGGATACTGTGCAGGCACACAGCATGCCTGTATTGGTAGTTTGTTCAGCCACCACTTCCCCCTCCCAATCATAGCCTGAGTCTTGAACACACACCCTACTCCAGCACAGCCTGCCTCTTGCCTGAGGCTGAACAGGCTATGGAATACAGGCACAATGTGTGTCTGCACAGTGTCCTGTAACCCCGCCCCCCACTAACAGGATGAAGAGATGCATGGTCGCATGACAGAACTTTTTAACCTTGCAAAAAGGTAATAAAGATCCTTTCTGAAACTAAGCAAATTCAGTTATGGTGCCTTGATAGTTATAACTGTATTAGAAAGTGCCTACAACATTTTATGTTCACAACTACTTTAAGTGGAGCTCAGAGACTGTGGGGATTTTTAAAAAATTATATTGAAACTGTATATTGTGACATATGAGGAATTAATGCAGACTCATAAAGTTATTGAACAGTCAGCATTGAATGGCCTTCTAGCCATGCTCGACACATAATTTCAGACAAACAGAGGATGAGGACGACCTCAATATTCCCTTATAAATTATTTTTTATTAACATATATATTTTTTCATCGCTAGTTTCCAACAATCAAAAAAAATCTAAAAGTTTAAAGCAAGATTACATAAAAAGATGTGATGCATGTTTTCCATCTGTAAATAACATAAGAAAGGGTAATTAGCCTCTAGAACTGTATGTGTCGACTTATATACAGTATTTGTATATCTGGCTTTACAATTTTATTTCTGGGTACTTTCATTTAAATATAATTTCCTTTTTTCGCTAGAATGGTAAAACATATCTAGGTCTAATTGGTCATATTAGTTAATGTAACTTTCCAGTGTAAAAAATCCTTGTCCTTAGGTGACCTTTGCGAGTAAAACAAGTTGAAAAATTAAATTACTAGTTTATGTTATATAATAGAGATGTGGATTTGTAATTTAAAACCAAATTTTCAAATTGGGGGAAGGGGTTGGGGATGGGTAAAGCTATGCATCATTTGGAACATTAAGAAAGGTTCCTGCATTTCTTTCCATTGAATAATATAGTTTTCTAAGAAAACCCATTTAGCCATTTTTCATCCTTGTGTGCTTCCAAACCTTTGTATCCACACATGTACAGTTCTGAGAATACATGTACTGTATGTCCACCAGTCTAATTAATGTAAAGCACTATTTAAAAGCTAGGCTGTGCTCTTTACGTGTTAGGGCTATGGTTGGGGTGGGAGTTAAATGTTAAGGGCTCACTTTAGAGTTAAGTGTAGGGAAGGGGAGGATAAAGTGGGCCTTGCACTAAACTCTAAGATCTGCTTATGTGGCTGCCCCCACCACCTGCTTACAAAACGCTGCATTAACAACCAAAAAAACACATTGAGTAAAAATAATTAAATAAAATTTATTTGACTACCAGGCTTCCAGGGGGATTTCTTAGGCAAAGTTGACATCAATTGGTTTTCATGCATGATCTTTGACAGTTGAGGTTCCCAGTCATGGAAGAACATGTTCATGTTCATGTACAGTGCCGTAGTTGTCTTTTTGTGAGAATTGAGTCCCTGAGATTTTCCAAGATCTTTCTGTGTGATAAATCTCACTAGTATTGCCTGAAAACATCTACAGTAGTTCAACTAACTACTACTAGCTATATCATGGCCTGAATGAGCTTGTTAAAACAAAACACAATATAGATTATTGCGCTAGAAGAAAGCAAGGACGTCTAATGAAGACTACCAAAGGTTAAAATGGGAGAAGATTGTTGCATCAGCAAGCATGAATATTTAGAAAATGTCCCAAATTAAACCCACAGATTTCTAAAATGAAAGAAATGCTCTATATGCTATATTCTTAGCCATACACTCATCAAATATACTGCAATCTCAATCACTTATAAAAAAATCATAATGGTGTGTCTCCTAAGATGCTACTGAAGAATTTACTATTAACTGGGAACATATAACCATGGAATTGTTTTAGATCCCTATGGTCAAGATTTCAAGGAAAACTTTAATCATTCAGAAGAAATGTGGTTACAATGTAAAGGTATATATATACCAAATTAACTAATGAATAGCTGTAACATAGGAACTGTACAATAGCTATTCAGTCTTCAGAGCCATCTGTCCTTTGATAGAAGCCAAAAATGGTCAAAATCTGACTAGTGTTTTAAGATGGTAGGGGGGATTTTTGTGACTGTCTTTTACAATCAACACCAAGTGCTGGATGGCTTATAAGCTTGTATCAACTTGGCTGAGGGACCACATTCTCACAGACTAATAGCCCTGTGGATACAATTTGCATGCCTGGTATGTTGAGCTGGAATCTTAAGGCCTCGATCGCGCTTTTGCACTGTGGTAACACACATATTATGCACATCACTGCAGTATGGTGCCTTTTTTTCTGAATCACCCCAAATTAACCTGCGTAGTGCACCTGAGTTGCTGTGTGCTCCTTTCGCCCTTTTGCAGTGCTGCTGACTCCCCTCCACTCCTCTCTAGCCAACTGCCCTACATGGAAGAAATATATATATATATATATATTTTAAATATTCTTCCCAAATATATTGCCATATATTTGAAATGCTAACATTTTGGCCATATTCATTATATTTCAAAATATATTTCAAATATATATTATATATAATATATATATATATATATATATATATATATATATATATACACTGCATGTTGAAATGCGTTTTTATTACAAAACAAAATATTTTTTAAAAATACATTTCAAATATACTGTATGTCTTTAAAAAGACAAATCTACATTTTTGGAATGCATTTTCAAATATTCAAATATGTTAAAATGACTTTTTTATATGTTAAAAAAATCTGAAGAATATATTTTAAAAATATATATTTTTTAAATATATATTTTTAAATATATCCACAGGGCTGTTGGGAATCCTCAGGATGAAGAGTGAGGAAAGGGACCAGTAAACATGTAATTTACTGTCCTCTTCCTTTTCTGAATGAACACAGAGTATCGATCACTGTCTGTGTGCATTCATAACTGAAGCATAGTAAATTGTGGCTAATAAGTGGTTAATAAAGTGGTTTATAAAGAGTTCATGTTTTTAAAAAGAGCAAAATACATAATACTGCATATTAATTACCCACAGATTAGTGGAATAGCTGGTTTAATCTGTGGATCCCCATTATGTGAACATTGGCTTGATCTGGGTCAAATATCAAACATAATGAACATGCATTTTCATATCTTAACAGCTAACATGTTTATAAAAATTCTATAAACTCCTACACTGCTTGTGCTGTTTGACATGTTTTATTTGACAGAGGTCCCCCTATGGTATTTGCAGGACTCATAGGGGTGAATTAAAAAAGGCTGTTGCAAGGACATTTTCCCTTAGCTTTGTGACAGTGGTAAATATTCACTTTGTAAAGGATACCCAGTCACAAGTAAGGAGAATAAAAAACAGCATTTTTGCTTGCTCATGATTGGATGATGGAAGTCAGCAGAGCTTCATCTCATTCACTAAGGTTAGGTTCCCATCTATGCAGTTTGCGTTTGATCCGTTTCTGCAGTGCTTTTTGCACATACGTTTTTGCTGCAGTTTTTTTTTAAACTTGTTTCTGGGCAGAATAAAATGCAAAACGCATCAAAAACACATTTAAAAAATGCGTCAAAAATGCATCAAATCGCACTGCATGCTTTTCTGCAGCTTTTCCTTTGAAGTCTATAGAACCAAAAACTCAATGTCGTGTGTTTAAAAAAGTCCCCGACCCTTTCTAAAAAACGCACCGGGTGAAAAAACGGAGATGTGAACCTATCCCATAGGAAATCATGTTAAATGGACTGCTGTGCATTTCTGCAAAACGCAGTGGAAAAAGCATAGGTGTGAACCTAGACTAAGCTCTGGCAAAAATTCCATAGCAAAATGGACAGTCTATTTTCCATAAGTAAATCATCCCCCATTGGTACACCCCAGGGAAATTATGAAAATATCACAGATATAGGTAAAGAGGATAATACATGGTTAATTTTGTTGCATGTCTACACAAGATACACTTACTGAAAGCACCAGATAAGGGTTGCATTTATTTGTTAATAGGGTTTTCTCTGCCAAAGAACTAATCTCACAACAGAGATTACAAAAAAATGAAATGATAATTTCAAGTCCAGACAAATAATGTTAATATCCACAATTTCTACAATATCTAAAATGTCTAAAATTTGTTGTATGAAAGTGAAATAACTCTGATTATTACATAAACACATCTGGTTAATATGGTTAGAAATGTCTCGTCTACTTTATTTCTTCCACTGTTCCTGCCAGCTCCTCCTAAACCTCCTTTTCAATTATATTAACTGTTTGACTGTTTCTTATATAGTTATATGCTTTATGTTATGTTAGGAAGTGGACCTAGCAGTGATTTTACATGTCTGCATTGATACATTCCTGATAAGTCAAAATAACAGTATAAAAACCTTCTTTTTTCATTGAGCTTCAGTCAATGACTTTGTCTAGGGCTAGGCTGAGATGATATGATCAGTCTGCTGCAGGCAGGAAGACCCATTTCCTCAGCCTCCTCTCCCCCAGTGATCAGACTGTAATACCGTCACCATGTAGTCAGACACA